TAATAATATATCTTTAAGATACAAAACACCTATTTCAGAACGAGTAGCGTTATTTCCATTTATTCAGCGGCAACAATGTAATTTGATTCCTTTTCCTCTCTAGTTATGCGCTACAAAGGGAAATATTAATTTTCATCTATTAATGTCTGTACATTGTCCTGCAAAGATGGTTTTCCGAGGATGCTCGAGCATGAGCATGAAATATTGTTTTAAATTAAAAAATTGGTGTACGATATAATTGTAGGTGTTAATGCGCTATATTTATGTCTTATCTTAGTCACATTTAATATTGTTAGGGTTTATTCCACAGCACATGTGGTCGGGAAAACAACAATGATTGCATTCAAATTCAAGAATCGTTTTATAGGTATTTTTATTTGAACTGTTGATGGCCCTGGTAAATATATTTTTTGTGGTTAAACGTTTTATTGACGTAAAGATAATATTTTAACTGGGGATATTTCGAAATGCCGTTTGTTCAGCAATTGAATAAAATAAAACACTTTTTACGACCGTTCTCCATATAATACAATAACAACACTCGATTAATACTATAGAAGTCGTAACCGTAAAAATATAATATATATAATATAGATACGGGTGAATAATTAATATATGTGTACGGTATCGCACAGTTTAATTAATGATATTGCTCGCCGTTTAAGTGTTGCAGTCAGGGATGGTAAAAATACTTTTAAAATTGTATTTAAATATTAAGCACAAAATGCATTTGAAACAAATTTTGTAGGTAGGTACACAAATAGAAACTAAATACCTATTTCTAGTATTATTAGTAAAAAGAGTATATTAATATAAAGAAATCTATAAAATGTCATGACCAAGTCCGAGCAGGAACGAAGCCGTTAAATATTCGCCCAACCGACAGTGAGAAACACAAGCTCGTATTGAAGCGAATAACAATTAAGTTGTAGTGTTTAGACAATAGGTAACTACACAATATACAATGGAAAAATGTAATTTATTACTTTTCTTACAATACCTACTAAATTATATAAATTTAAAACTAATATTATGATATACGTATTACGTAATACAACATTTCATGCAGTCCTCTCTATGAAGTTGGCCCTACATTTGAGTGGATATTTTATCATTAACTCTATTATTGATGAAGATTATTACCAAGTACCTATCTATAAGTATAAAATGGAACATATAAGGAAAATGTAAGTATAATGTATATTTTATATTTATACTAGCAAAACTTAAATGATAATATATTATTTACAACATAACTAGGTACCTATCCATAGCCTATATTATTAGTTAATAAAAGGCTTCTTCAATGTTATCGATATCTAGAACTTTTTTTCCGAAATTTAGGTATTGATAATCGGAATGTATCGTACGATTTATCGATAATAGTATGTATCGATAATAGCATATATCGATAACCGTATATATCGATAATCAAAATATATCTGATATTCCGGGTTACAAATAGCACGGGATAACACAAAAATAATTATTTTGACTATTGACTATTGAGTATTGAGTATTGACAATTATGATAGTCATAGAGAAATTGGAATATCGATATCGATATTTCGATACATCGATACCTACATTTTTTTTTCTATATCCATATTCAAAAATATATCGTTGAAGAAGCCTAGTTAAAAATATTACAATTTTAAACTAATAGACAGGAACAAAACAAAACATAAATATTATAATATAGTGGTAAGATAATCAACGATGTTTTAAATAAATAACGTTATTACAGTATATTATAATATTAAGGATATAGATAGGTAAAAAAAGGCCCAAATAATAATATGTGTTAGATAGTTGTTAGATATTATATTATCAATATAATTTTATTATCGATATTATATTATCAATATAATATAACAAAATAAAAATAATCAAACAACAGCTATGGACATGGCGTACTTAGTGAACAATATTAAATGTCTATCATTTATTCAATGATAATAATACACGGTAGATGTTTGTCGACGACAAGTACTACGATTAGAAAGTTTAAAAAGTCTTAAGCAGTTTATTTAAATTATTTTTCCAAATGCCCGGATATGGGGCATGAGGCCCTACTCAGTTAGGTGCATACCGTCATCCACTGCATGGACGTAATTTATGCATATTCAGATTTTCATTATGATAATTTGTGAACGCAGTTCGATAAAAATCTAAGACTTTATAAATTAAACTATAATATTGTATAATAATTTATTATCTGGTTGAATTGTTTAAATATCAAAATATAACACGATATTATAATGTTATTTATTTACATCACTACGGTTTACTAATAAACAGTACTCACAATAAAATATTATTTTGTTGTACGCGCGCGTTGAACTCTACTTTCTGTAAAAATATGTATTTTTCGAAAGAATTTTTGATAGGAATTTCCTTCGCTTCCATTGGTATAGCTGGAGTGTCTTTCCTATTATCAAGGAGAAAAAATCCAACTACTAACTATGGATATGGAAGGAAAAACATGGAAGACTTCTTGGAGGTAAACAAAATATAATACATAATATCATGTAGGTTTATATTATAACAATAAACGTTTAAATTCTATAATATTTGTCATTTTTAGTATAACCAACATATTAATTAGTTTCGGAGCAAAAACCTTGTGTGACTGGAGTGCATACCTGCAGGTTCTTGCTTTGAAATGTAATAACCTGATAAGTCCATTTTTCTTATATTATCTCCGTAACTAATAAACGGATATAACGGTTTGTTACACCGAAATGTGTAGTTTATTTCCTGATCAGGAAACCACAGGAAAAATACTTTTTTTGAAAAAGGGGACACATCAGGTTTTGCACAGAAGGATTCCATACTTTTTAGCTTAGATAGGTATAGCCGTATAGGTAGGTACAAATATTTACCATAAGTGCCAATTTACACTTATGAGTTTGTAAATTTAAGTCAGTGGCGTACCTAGGTCTCTCTTATGGGGGGGGGGGGGGCGAAATATATTTTTACCTATTCTTAAAAATGTACACGTCACACCTAATCTAACCTAATGGAAATTTCATACTTGTAAAATACCTATTAAATAAAACATTTTAATAGGTACATAAAAAAGAAATTATTGTTTAATATAATAATATAGTAAAATGTATGTTATAAAATAATTTTATTATAATTATAATTTATAATACAAAGTCTAGCTTTCTGTTTTTCATACGAGAAAATCGTTCAATAATTTCGTCCACTGGTATATTTATTTCTTGATAAATGTGCAATAGTGCAAGCCCACATAAGCGATCCTGACCCATTTTTGAACGTAGCCATGTTTTTAGTCTACAGCACAAGCATAAAATAAAACAAATAATAAATTTAAATAATTAAAAAGCAGTAGGTAGGACAGGTAGGTACTAAGTGTCTAGGTGCCTAGATTTATAAGCCAATTTTGTAGATTATTAATTTATCTTAATAAATAATAATATGTTCTGTAAATGTTTGACCTTAAAGAACTTTTTTTTTAAACTAAAGTACTGAAGCAGTAGAAAGTATAAAAGCGATAAGCATTCAATTGCTTTTTAAAAATAATATTGAGTACTACAAATATATTATCACATGCTTTTATTATCTATTCTGTGGTCGAACCGCCAAAACAAAATGATAATACCTGATTCGACTATAGATAACAAAAATATTTTAAAATCTAGGGCTTGATCATGACATGATAACATTGTTATCAATTATCATTTATTATTATTGACTTCATGAAAAAAAAATAAAAAATAAAAACACAAAAAAAATTTAACAATGGACATTTCTCATATATTGTCACATATATTTATACGACCCACAGGGGGGGCGAATGCCCCCTTCGCCCCCCCCACAGGTACGCCACTGATTTAAGTATTAGTAACAGTTGAAATTCACTAACTTTTAACTTGCACATTTAATTATTAATCTGTAACTAATATGAAATAATTACAAGTTGCATAATATATTATGTTGGTAAATTTCAACCCATATTAATAGTTAAATTTACAAATCATAAATATGAGTAAACTTCAACCATGGACCTACTGATAATTTTACACATTAAATAGGTTAATACAATATTAATTCAACTTCGATATGATTTTAAATTTACAAGTAATGCGAATATATAATAATATAGTACCTATTTATATTAATAGGACGAAAACGATAAGTTTTTCGATGCGGAATCGAAAAGTTTTCGGTCCGTGTCCGATGATGAATTCGTAAGTTGTCGGTCCACGATGTCCAGTGTGGAATCTGTAAGTTTTCGAACCGTGTCCGATATGGAATCTGTTAGTTTTCGGACCATGCCCGATGAAAACTTGAACGACAACACAAAGGTCGTAAAATCAATAGGAGGTCAGTTTTCCATATGATATTGAGTATAATTTTTTAATTAAAACTATTTTCATATAATTCCATACTTTCTAGAACTGTATATGGACGCGGTAAAAAAGCAGGCGTTCGAGGACCTACAAGTATGAAACTAAGAACGGCTTTAGAACAATCGAATGTAATCATATAATATCGCAGTGCTCATAAACGGTTTTGATTTGATTTTCAGCATAACTTTATAGTGGTTGAAATGAATTGTTTGGAGTTGAAACATCACGTGGCTGACGCAATGTATACCTTTCAACAGACGGCCGACGATCAGCGCCTATCGATCGACAGCCTGAAATTAGAAAAGCCTGAAAAAGATTTGAACCGTTTGACCTCCGATCTGCTGAAAAATACAGAGATGCAGTCCACGGAAAGTAATATTATATAATATATCGACCTGACTATACCCATAACAGTGTAATACATTACTACATTAGTCGTTTCCATAACACCGAAAAACCCGACTGCTGCAAGCTACGTAGACTGAAGACAAGGTTCTCGGTTCTTGAAAGTAATATAATATAGAAAAATAACGGTTAATAGATAATAAAGTACTAATGACGTGTGCCCGTGTAGGTGATGTGACGAAAAACTCGATAGATATCGTTGGAATAAACCACATGCTGATGTTAAGGTTGGCTAGCTCGGGGGCTGCCGCTGAAAATGATGTGTCGGCAGGAGAAAACCTTTTCGAGCTGGACACTCTGAACGCGCAATGCCACAAACCTACCTCGCCGACGACGTCCGCATCCTTTACACCCGTCGCAGGCCCGCCTCCTGCGGTAACCTCGGAAAATTTTTGGCCGCCACCTCCACCTCCTGAAGTAACCTCGGAAAACTTTTGGCCACCTCCTCCGTCTCATGCTGTAACCTCAGAAGATTTTTGGCTGCCTCCTCCGCCTCTTGCAGTAACTTCGGAAAACTTTTGGCCACCTCCTCCGTCTCATGCTGTAACCTCAGAAGATTTTTGGCTGCCTCCTCCGCCTCTTGCAGTAACTTCGGAAAACTTTTGGCCACCTCCTCCGTCTTATGCTGTAACCTCAGAACATTTTTGGCTGCCTCCTCCGCCTCCTGCTGTAACCTCGGAAAATTTTTGGCCGCCTCCTCCGCCGCCACCGATGACGACCGGCACGGCAGCGTTCCGCCGTTACCCTGCTGTGCAGAAGCCGTGTGCATCCGTGCGTGGAGCCGAGGGGAAAAAATTGCAAACTTACTGCCGTGTGTTCGTAACGGAGCTGAGGAGAGTTTGAGGGCCGTCGTCCTCTAGCCTGTAGCCCGTCCGACTTGAAGATCTCTTCCGTTATAGGTATACGGCAGTAGGTAGTAGGTGCTTGACCTTTCCGTCCGGCATATCTATAGATAATTACAATAGAATAGAAGAATTAAGAAAAAATTACACAAATTATAAATGGTTTGGTTACTTGACAAGCTATGAACCATTTATAATTTGTGTAATTTTTTCTTAATTCTTCTATTCTATTGTAATTATCTATAGATATGCCGGACGGAAAGGTCACGCACCTACTACCTACTGCCGTATACCTATAAAGGAAAAGATCTCCAAGTTTAATTATCTAATGTATAATATATTCCATTTGTGTAACATATTATGTATTAGGTAAGTGTATTTCTGTGCATAAATGAATAAACCTGTTTAATAAAATATACCCGAGGTATTTGTTTTATAATGTAGGTTTTCAAATTACATTTACGATATTATTATGAGTTATTAAAGTCTCACTATAAGACTTTAATCATTTTTAAGTCCTGAAAAACTAAATGCATAATAGGTGTAGTTAAGAATTTTGATGGAAATGTGGTCATATAACCAGTGTTGAGACTTATTTAGATAATTTATCTAGATAATTATTTAGTTATCTTTTATCTTATATAGATAAATAGTTTTGTTTTATCTAAATAAAATTATCTAAGATAAAAAATTCATCCATCTAGATAATTGGTCTCTATACAAAAAAATGATATACACTTTTTACTGTAGTATCTAAGCTGAACTGTCAAATGTTAGACTTTATAGTATGTATTAAAAAAAAAAAACATCTTTTGAAAATTGTAGGTCTTAGCAATAAAAATTGAACTTTATATACATTTTTAAATACAACATAATTTGATAATGTTCGCTATCAAATCTAATAAAAAATATCATACTTATAAATTATATTGTATTTTATTATAATCACATAAAAACTTTTTGTGTGGAAATTCTAAGCACCAGAAGAGTTAACGCATGGTTGAAACTTGAAATCAAACCATGAAATAACTGTTTTGACTATAATATTTATGTTCATAGTGTATTTTGATTTAAATTTTGATACTTACCATATCTGATAGGATTGATAATAAACTAACTAATTGTATACCTAAATTAAAGTTTAAAGTAAAAAAACTGTTGATTTTGTATAAAAACGAATTTATCCTCCTCTCCATAACTCCATTATAGGTACTAAGAACTCTACTACTTCATGCAATTTTATTGTAACTATTTTTACCTTGAATTTTCAAAGACAATTTCAGTGTCTTTCGTACAAATTAATGTAAATTTCATGCTAAATCGTGGTATGTCAAGTTTTTTTTATTGTTATTCATTTTGATGACCTGTGCTGGAGAGACGTTTCCACAACACAGCCCATCATTTTTTGTCATGTGGATGCGATTGGTCCATAGATAATATAAGAATGGATAGGACATAAGAACTTATCACCTGAAAATTTAGTGATACTATTTTTAAGGTTATATAAGGCAAATATTGATATGATAATTGATAAATAATAATAAATAAAATTTATATAATTTCATTTTGTTAAAATATTATTTTCCAATTTCCATTTTCCAGGCACAGGTGGCACAACAATCAAAATACAAACTGACAAATATCTAAATATAACTGACTATCATGTTATTATTATTATTATTATTATTTAATAAAATAGTTTGCACATAACCTTAAAAAGCCTCATATAGTCTTTCTCTCTTTACGTTCTCTCTTCCCCAAAAAAGCACACGGCCTCATATGGAACTGGTATAGGCATGTCCTATCCATTCTTATATTATCTATGGATTGGTCGCGCTATAATGAATCGACGGAATATGGCCGGCGGGCTGGGGAAACGGAGCGGTGTTTCATTTTTTACGCCACGGTTTCACTATAGCCTGCGTTTTCCTTTCCATTGGTACACTATAGATAGCTGATTTCCTTGTCATTTTATAGCACGAATTAAGATATACAGGATACACAACGAGAGCCTGTTATCAACAAATTATTGTTTCTGACGATTCTTGTTCATCGAATTGACACAGAGCGCTAATACTAATCAGCGGCAAAGTTTTGAACTAACCCAAATTTATAAATATTGGCATTTTGGCAGTATTTATTTTTTAATTTTTTCTTGTTATTAATTTAATTTGGTTTTTGATACGAATTAAGCTATAAGAGGTATGCAATTTGTGTTTTTGAGTTATTTTTCAGTGTCTAGACTAATAGATATTACTATATTATTAATACTTCTTAAAAAAAAGGTAGGTAACTAATTAATATTAGTATGTCTGCTAAATGTTGAGTTTAATTTGATAGATATTTGGCAAGGAAAGTTAGTAAAAAACAAATTGTCAAACTTGTTTATTGGGCATCAAAAATCCAGAAAACAGGTTTAATTCTGAAACTGCACAACTAGACAACTTAAAATCTAAAGGATTTTTGACTCACCCTGATAACAATTTTTTTATACTTATTAGACAAATTGAGATGTCATTTTCCAAACATGCTAATAGTCAAAATGTATTCGAAGACCATTGATGACTTTTTCAAATGTAATTATTTGATTCCATTTCCGTGTACTGAACATAAAAACTATATGGTTGAGTATATATTCACTACTTATATTACAATGGGGATAAGACAGCATACCTATTTTTCAAATCTTCAGCTGAAAAGCAAAAACAAAGTTAAAAAAAAAACTATCCAAATTAGTTACCTACTAATTAATTTACTAGTTACTAGTTCCATGTTACAATTTTATTGACCTTAGTAGAATTTAAAAGATTTAATTTGTATTATTATAAATTAATGATTAATAAATTATGGGATATATAAAAAAAATGTAATCAAATAAGTCAAATAATGAATACTTGTACTTAATGAATTTATTATTTTAACAAACATTTTTCAGTTTCCTTATTAATTTTTAAACCTTTTGGTTCTTGCAAAAAATACAAGAAATATAGGAATAATACAGAATATTTAGATGTGCAGAACACTTGGTCTTATATTAATTTTGATGTAATTTACAAAACTAAACATGAACGGTAAGAGTATGTAATGCTGGGTAATGGTAATGTAAATTAAAATACATTTAATCATACATATATCAATGTATCACGAAATCGGAAATATTGGCTCTCAATAAAATTAATATTATGGAGTTAGACGTAAAGAGTAACAACAATTAAAATATGTAAGATTGTAAGATAATAGAAATGTCACAGAAATTTACTGAGTTATGAATTTGTGAAATAGTAGCTTAGACTACTAGAATTTGAATTTTGAATAACGCAACTGCCAACTACCTACGCAAGTGGAAAATGGATATCACGTTATTAGTACAAAACTCGCCACTACCACCTTCAAGCGCTACCTGTCAGTTCAAGAGCGAAGAACGTTCTTATAACAACTGATAAGTGCTCGTTGTGTATCCTGTATATCTTAATTCGTTTTTTATAGTATAGGATTATGTGTAATGTGTATAGATACAGTGTTTCCCGTTAAAGAGACCACTTGTTTAATGGTACGATTGTACGAGTATATACTATATATCAGGGGTGGCCAACATGACTATGTACGTGAGCCACATGTATTAATACAATTTTATCAAGAGCCAAATTATCTAATGTGTACTTCTATACCACAAAAGTAATAAAGATATATTGGAATTTTGGAAGCATATTTCTATATTAAAATACCCAAATATTAAAAACTGTGCGGTAAAATTGATATCAATTTTTGGAACGACGTATTCATGTGAATCACTTTATTCAACAATGAAAATAATTAAGTCAAAATATCGTTCAAATTTGACTGATGATCATCTTAGAGAATTACTAAGAATTGCTCTTACATCAATTCAACCAGATCTTAAGAAGCTTACTAAAAAAGTAGACACGAAAAAAGTACCACGCAAACAAAATTAGCTTAATGTTTAATTTTTTAATTTATTATTCATATTAATTAATTTTTTTTTTGTTTGATTTAATCTATATTCTATACACTATAATACTATAGCCTTAAATAAATACAATAAAAACATTTTTTTATATATACTATATAGAATCAACTATTTACTGGAACAAAAATGATAAACCTAATCCACATCATACGTAAATTGTAATGTGAAATAGCCCTTCTATTCAGGATCACTGCGTACCAGATGATTGAATCATTTTTATTGCGTTCGTACCTTTAAACAATGAAAATCGAAGCTGACCACAATATTAGACCACATAAATGCCATAATATTATGTATTTCCTTTTAAATGTTTATTATTGGAAATAGAAAAAAATTTCATTTTATTTTATGTTATTATATACAATAAGCAAGTGCGTTTTAAAAAGAGAAATAAAAATATGTGGTCGCCTGATAAAGCTGGGAGCTTCCATGACATTAATTATTTATTTCACGTATATTATTATGTTATATAATATATGTATACCAAAGGAATATCACACCAGAAAATATCAGTTCCATAAATCAAAGTTTGGGATGTTTTTTAATTTCATCATAAAATAAAAATGACGTGTTACATGAAGTGTTTAATTTTATTAAATTCGTAAGTGTATAATTATAAGTCTAGTTAAATATATCTTATGGGATAAATCAGTTAGTGTAGTAAGAAACAATGTTATCCAATGGCCTGCGCCAATGTTATCATATTAAACGGAACTCTCTGTAATAAGCATAATGCAAACTGTTTATGTGTGCTGTACAAAATATGTTTAATCAATTTTCTTTTAATATTTTCGAAACACACCGCAAACGTTCGACGGGCAAAATGTGTCCAAAAGAACCGCGTACCGAGTAGGTACATAATTCATGAAAAATCGAACCTGTGGTAGTATAACAATAATTTAATATTATGTGGTACGAGATTAAGGCCGTTACAGTTACATTTGTTTTCTCTGTCTTACAAGTGCGTAACATAGCAAAATTTTACACTCAGCAAAACAAGTTTATCTCCCTTT